AGAATATGATTATTCTCAATAATACACTAGCCCTATCGGTAGTAATACCTTCAGTGTGTGTTTGCAGATGAGATAGTCCCTACTCATCTAGGCAATATCATATTAATAGTACTAACAAGCATTGCTATTATATCTAGTGCAATTTCTGTATTTTATCGATAGCAAGCCTTTTCTATAGTACTCAACTTCATATTAAATCCTGCCTGAGTGCCTTCATCAACAATCTTGTGGCAATAATATAAATGAACGTTCCCTGGAGGCATTTATAATATCTTCCTCCTCTCTTTATATATTTGGCTCGTTTCTGGTCCACAACATTAGAGTAATGTAACAGACTACTTGATTATAACGAAGTGTTTTTTTAATTCAGGGGGCGCATGAACACTGTTAATGTAACATATTGGTGGTTTTTAAATGTAGGGTTGATGTATAGCTTACTGTCTTAAATACTTTATTGTGAAAACGGGAGTGGAATACGCTGTTTCTCATTTACAAATTGGCTGAGAATACTTGTTACACTCGAATTAAGTGCGGGCTGATTTGACAAATTTGACCACGGAGATCGGAGTCACGGCTGGCTTGACCGCAGTCTACTAGCCTACTGTTTCTTCTACACAGCACCGTCCTGTAAATGACAACATCCGGTCTCAGAATATGAAAAAACAGGCCTTTTTTCCGTTTCTGTTTTCTAGTGATTTTATTTTTTGTTATATGAAATAAAAAATGAAAATCTAATAATTTTTTAAATTTCGCTCATCCCTTTTTGACCATGGAAAAGAAAAACGCCTTGTATTTCAATTTTAATTTTTTTATTTTAAAACGAAAATCAAATAACCACTCGTTTCCTGTTTTTTAATACCTGTTTCTGAAAGGAAAATCGAATGACCAAAAGATACACGGACCGTGTTGGCCTGAACCCAGAATGGCTGTTTGCATTTTCAAATGTTGAGTATTTAAAACTGTTTAAAATGTTTAAACTGTTTTGACCCAGGCTTCACTTTTTACAACCAGGAACTTCATGCTGTTATTAATATTAGGAAAGGAATAATGATAGTGTTGTTTTCTGCAGCCACAGGACAGGGCCAGTATTAAACACCGGGACAGACAGATGCTATAGTCTTGCATTAGACGAGGTCTGGGGAGCGTGTTTTGCTTTTGTGGGTGATCACCTTCACTGTCTGAACCAGAAGCTTTTGGTGTTTTCTCTGAGAGATCTGGTGTAATTTAATCTCACCTGCAGTCACTGCCACCGGCACTGATGACGAACTTATCATCACAGGAGAAGCGAATGTTTGTCACGTGAGCAGAGTGACCGAAGTAACGCTTGTGTTTTGCCTGTGAAGAGATCAGATAGAGTGATGAAGACAGCTGGTGGACAGAAATACACAATTCAGGGATTTACTGTCACATGAAGTTCACGTACAAATTTTTCTGAACATGGAAAATCGAAGAGCTTGATGAGGCCGAAATCGTCTCCGGTCACCAGGTTGAGGCCAGCGTGGGAAACACAAGCACAGTTGACGTCCGCTTTCTCTGCGTTGCGAGGCCAAACGCCGAGAACCTCGTCACCCAGGATGCTAAAAAACATTGACAGTGACTTTATAGGTAGTTCCCTAAACTCTAGTTTGTTTCCTTGGTTCTATATTATGTTGGTTCTATATATAGTTCCACAATACCACAATATATTCCACAGGATCTCCTCTTGGTTCAACAGTTGGTTCCCTAAACTCTAGATGATTTTATTCTGTCTGCACAGTATATGTCCTAGGCTGTACATGTTCCCTAGACTCAACAGTACGTTCCCTAGACTCAACAGTATGTTCCCTAGACTCTACAGTATGTTTTCGTAGCCAGCCTCACCTGGTCCAGGTAGCCCAGGTGATCCTCTCAAATACAGACTGCTCTGTGACAATCTTCCCCGAGGGAACTTCATGCACCTGCCGAGTGTAGGTGCTGGTGGACACCTGGGATGGACATGAAGGAGATTTTACGTTTTAGTCAACTCACTGATGTATGATTCTGCCATGAAAGATTTAAAAGAGTTCAACTGTAGAAAAAGCATCCGTTGCTACACTACAAGCAACCATTAGTAAAAGGTCAGAGGTCGTAGCACAATTGACTTATTATGAGGGAGTTTAGGTTTTTAGTGTTTTTAACCTGGATGTGTTTGCTGTCAGCAGAGAAGTCGATTTGGATGACGAAGCCAGGGATGTCCTTACAGTAGCCAATCCTGTTAAGGGATGGTCCCAAAGAAAGGTCGTAGAAATCCACAGCACTTTCAACTGAACCCACTGCCAAGAACCGGTTGTCTGGACTGAAGCTGAACCACAAGCAAACCCCCCAAAATATGTGCAGTTAATTATTTAGGTCCAACACAGAAGTGTTAAAGGATGATATCTGTTAAAGACTGATGTTGTACCGTATGTCCTGGATGGTGACACTGCGGTCTCTCTTCTTGCCCCAGACGGTGAGGGAGTTGACCAGCAGGACAATAAACTCTCCGTTCTCCATACCGATGGAAACCATCTCTCCGTTGGGACTGTAGGAGGTGCACTTGGCTGGATGACCCAAACTCACCTTGTTCAGAAGTTTCTAACACAGAAAACAAGATAGCAGCAAATGGGAGTTAAAAGGTTGTACGATAAAGACTTCAACCCCAGTCTCCACCCTCACTCTACAGATCTGTACCTTATCAGCCAGGTCCCATATTCGGATGGTCCCGTCATCACTGGCGGAGATGAAGACGTCTTTGAAAGGGTGAGTCGCCAAACCCCAGATTCCTCCCTGAGTGTGTCCGTTGATCATGGTGTTGGAGGCAGCATTCTTTTCACCTACCTCTATTATTTCTCCATCTTTGGTTCCTACCAGGATTTTACCCTGAATCATCAGGGACGAAAGACATGTGTCAGGAAGTTTGGGATTGTTGATCCAGAGGCTAGAAGATCATCTTACCTCAACTGAAGAATTTATTTTCTGTTTCTCCTAATTGAACTGTTAAGTGTTCCTTAAATCAGTTGGAACTAGTTGATATAAATGCCTCATTAAATACATTACAGTATCTGTCAATCTATGTAATCTGTTTATCTATGAGTGTTCCAGTAGGTATGGTTCTGCAAACAAAGGTGCGACTGGGTGCCAAATAACTCTTGTTAACTGCTCTATAACTGAAGCCATAATGTGCTATTTAAACTCCATTTCACACTGATAAATAATAAAAAATCAGCAGATGCACATGGGGGCAGTTTATGACCATACAAATTGCAATGATTATTTCGAAAAACCTCTGACTGATTGGTTTTATAGTCAGATCTGTCTCATACCTTCCCTCTGCAGACGGATCGGACATTCTCTACCGATTGGCCGGTTTCTAGCTGAAAAGCTCTGCAGCGCTTCATCTCCTGATCCCAAAGCTTCACAGCTCCGCCCTCTTTAGTCCTGTCAAGTACACCAACAAACACAACGGTTTTATTTTCATAGTTCAGATGTAGTGCTCTTCTGTACTTCACATCAAGACATTCCAAGAGTGGTAGAGTCCCAGTGGCCTTCAACTTGTCAATCAGAACGTACTAAGACAAATGTGTCACTTGTGACTTGTGTAACTATGAAGGAACTAGTTTTCAAACTCTAGCTGGCATTAAGCATGTTGTTTTTTGGGTACTCACGGCCGTTCCTTCCCCCCAGTGACGATGAGTCCATCCCTCAGGGTTGTGTACATGGTGAAGACCGGACCACTGTGCGCCTTTGCCACCACTCGTACCAGGAAGTGTTCCCTCCATACATACACGTCTCCATTTATAGCACCAGTGAATGTCAGGTTGTTCTGGAGGAGACAAACACTGATTTACAACAAATCCATAAAACACTAAAGATTTATAATTCCTTTTTAAAAGGTGAGTCAGAACTAGTTTATCTTACAGCACCAAAGGCAACAGACAGCATGGTCTGCATGCGGCCGTCCTCCACCGAGCCGATCACTCCCTTCTTGTACACGAGCGAACCTCCAACCAGAGTCCAGAACTTGATATGTTTGATTCCCACCGACACAAACTGGGTGTCAGAGTCCGGTCTGAACTCCACCACGAATATCCGCTCAGCATGGCCACCTTTACTGGTCACCTTGGTGCCTGGCAGAGAGGTCAGAGGTCACTTTTCAAGTGGATATCTCTCTATGGTAAATTTTGTTCGCTTTGCTTTAGTCTGTTCTGTATTTTTATATCCATTGATCAGCCCTAACACAGTGAGCACTGACAGTAACTCTGATTATCTGGGTATCAGGGCTCCTGTCAGTAGGGGGGAGGTATATCAATGGGGGGTTATATTAGGCAGACAGTGAACATTTGGTCCTCAGAGTTGATGTGTTAGAAGCAGGAAAAATGGGCAGCGTGAGGATCTGAGCCACTTTGACAAGAACCACATTGTGATGGACGACTGGGTCAAAGCATCTGTGTTCCCGGTCTGCAGTGGTCATAATGTTATGGCTGGTGTATATATCAAGGCTTTTTGTTGCATGTTATGTTGATTTGGGGCTGTCTTTCTGCCCCTTAGTGGTCACCAGTTGATTAAGCTCACCTGGTCCCTTAGGCTATAAAAGCTGTGTCCACTCTGATTTTGACAGAAAATAAATTGGTTCTGAACCTGAAAAGTTGGTTCCCAATATCTTGTGTAGACTTATTTTGTCACATCCTCCTAGTTTGATTGTGGTATGACCCATCTTGTCCTTAGTGTTATTATCCTAACCTTCCTCAGGTACTTAAGTCACACTCCTCACCTGTAGTCATCACCTAAATCCCAACAAAGCTATTTGGATAAATGATACTACTGCACCACGTTAGCTTGTTTAAGACGCTAAGCTATTGGATAATATTAATGTCTGTACCTTCCTGCCACCTCCACACTGTGATGGTGTGTTCAGGCTCCACTCCAACAGAGAGCAGCAGCTTTCCTGTAGCGCTGAAGTTGACGTAGCCGACACCTTTAGCGTGGGAACATCGGAGGATGGAAAGGGTCTGCTTGGTCATGGCATCCCACACATGAATGGATGGAGCAAGACCTGTGAGAAGAGAGCAGAACCTAAGGTAACCCAAGAATCAAGGAACCAAAGGACAAAGGAGCTAAGCCACTGAGCAGCCAAGGACCCTAGTATCCAAGGACCTAAATCATTAAATTGAGGAACCATAAAACCAAGGAACCAAGGATCAGGAACTGTGGTACCAAGGACCAAAGGCATTAAGGTGGCCAAGGAACCAGGAACCCAAAGGACTAAGGAACTAAGGTGTTGAACATCTAATGGGCTTAGCATCCTTGCAACTGTCGAACCAAGGATTTAAGGAACAGGAGCAAGAGAACAGAACTTGTCCGGATAAGTTGAACCACCATACAAGGCAAGGCTTTAAGGAAACAAAGGGCCGACAAGGAACCTAAAATTGCCATGGAAGGAAGTAAGTAAAACACCAAGGAATGAAGGAACCAATGGAGCGAGGAGGTGAGGAACCAACGTACTAAGGGAGAAATGAAACCAAAGGAACCGAGTAGTGGAGGTCAGGCAGAACAGGCTTAGATTCAGGAGATGAGGGGGTGATAGGCAGGTAGGCGACAAGTGATTAGATGTCCTCTTTTGAAGGATCATTCCCTACTGTCATATTGTACTGGAGTAGGATGGGGTTAGCGTTGGGGAAATCAAAATAGCTTCTATTTACTCCATCCTGTATTCACAAATTTACAGCAAACACTACTGACACCTTTGACCATGATCACATAGGACTCCTTTCTTCTGAAGTCTAAGGTCGGCACAAATCGAGATGAGTCATGTTTTGAGTTGAGTTGTTGCAAAACAAATCAAATCTGAACCACAGGTCGCAAATTTCAAGAATTTAAGAGTAAGAAATTGGGGAACCCAAACTAAAATAAAATGACTACACAAAAGGGGACAGGTACAGAGTAGTGCTGCCCCCTAACAGTCAACTAAATTGTTAGTGAATGAGAAGAGTCGACCTGCTTTCATTAGTCAGATTGTCGCAGAAAAACAAAAACAACATCAAACTCTACCAGGTAAGTCTGCCAGGATTTGTTTCAGTGAAGTTCGAAGTTATTTATTCCATGTTTTGAACAAGCAGACTGTGTGATGTTACACTGTGTTTGAATAAATTAACTAAATATTCAGTCTCCTTGCTGGTTGTTCTGACACACAGGTGGCACAACATAAACATTATAATTCCAAACTGCATTTTAGGTCCCAATGAATTAGAACTAAATATGTTTTCATTAGGGTCTGTTTTTTTAGATTCCACAACATTTCTACGCTGATGACACAGCTGTATTTATCATAAAATCAAGGTAAAGTTCATGCTGTTCATTCTCCTTTGTTTAAAGGACTTTGAAATATGTCTGTATACATGCAAAAAACTTGTGAGTCATCCCATGTTCCCAATCAAAGTACAAATGTGATTTAACTTTTGCCATCACCGCTCCCAGAACAGTTTACACCTCGTTGTTGTTGTTTTAATTCCAGCCTGAGGACCATTTATTAGCATTATTTGATTGTTACGTAGCATTTGGTGAAATCTGTCCAGTAGATGTCTTGCCCTTTACTGAAGTGTTGAACAGGAAGTCCTATGTGATCATGGCTGTAGAGGGTTATTAAAACAAGATCACTGCATTCTGTCAAGCAGATAAGGAACAGTCATGCCTAATATTCATGCTCCAATATCCTCTGCATCAATACAATAGATCCAGGTCCAGCTACTATAAGAACTTTTGTGCAAAAGCAGCCTTTCAATCACAGTCTTACCACAAACAGTACAGACACCACATACAGTAACCACCCAGGCTAGTTGGGCTAACATGCTGATAAGAGGCGCTAAGCAAGGCTTTGTTCTTAGTCTGACTTGCTTTAGTTTCTCTACTGCCATGCTCCCACTAACATGGAGAAATTTGAAAACACTGAGTTTTCCATCCACACAAATGTTTTTAGATTGTTTTCTACTTCCTGTGTCCACACTTTAAAAAACAACAGATAAAAGACTGAATCATCGTCTTCATCTTTCCTCCTTAATGGTGGCTGGCCAACGACAAGAGTGAAGGTTGATTCTTTTCACCAAATAATCTTAAAGGTCCAGTGTGAAGGAATTAGTGGCATCTAGTGGTAAAGTTGCAGATTGCAACTCACTGAGAAATCGCTCTCCTTCCAAGTGTGTAGGAGGAACTACAGTGGCGGCAAAACTGTGATAAGTCTCTCTAGATCCAGTGTTTGGTTTTTCCATTCTGGGCTACTATAGAAACATGGAGGTTCAACATGGCGGACTCTGCCAGAAGAGGACCCGCTCCCTCTGTAGATAAAACATTCTCGTTCTGAGGTAACAAAAACACAATGATTCTTAGATTCAGGTGAAACACTAATGAAAACATACTTGAATTTGAATATTATATTACAGTAATGTGACGCACTGGAGCTAAAGCCAGTACAGTGAAATTACTTCCACCGATTCCCAAAACAAAACAACTTGTTTCAGTATAATTAAACCTAAAACAAACACTTAAACAACATCTTTGAATAAGTTGATTTGGATTAGAAACTCATAGCATCTCAATGCACTGGTGGGTTTTTAATTTAAGAAAATAGGACTCAATAAAAATGATAGTTTTTTTTAAGTTGGTGACATTAAAGTGTCACTGGTTTCCAGTTTCTAGAGGTGGAAAATGGTGGTTTAGTGTGAATGGATTGTGTTTTCATCTGAATCCACATTAGTGTAGACATGGTCTCTGACAGACAATGGTTGGGGGGTCAAGCTACAAACAGAACAACTAGAGCAGACCTGAACACGGTTCTGACTGATGATACTCACCGGACACTTCAGCCTCTACACACCGAGAGCGAACGACACCAACAGGTTAAACACTGTGTTCTCCACATGAATGTAAACAGAATAATGTGTGTGAATGGATCAGTGACGAGTGACAGCAGAAGGTGGGCAGGGTCTTACCTGGCAGGTCAGTGATGTCACCTGGTGGTGAGGTGAGGCGGTGACAATGAGGAAGCAGTGGAAAAGAAAATAAGTGCAATGGGCAAAAAGCAGCAAGTCATGCACGAAAACAACATGGTGATCAATATCAAACTCTGCTACCTAATTACAAAGCTGAATGTTTATGTAGAATGTGTCTGGAAACAGGATTTTTAATACAGTATTTATGTGTCTCTTTGTGGTTATTTTGTTCAATTGTAGTTGCTTTGGTTTTGTCAGCCACTTTAAACTGTGCTCCGTCCCAGGGCCCCCCACCCCTCAAGCCCTTGGGCCAGTAGTTCAATTCACTGTATGCTGTGGGCCAGCAAGTGTTTAAAGAGGCATCAAACCTGAACTTGTCTCGACATGAAACTACGATGTCCGTCCAGGCCCCCACCCCCTCAAAGCCTCTGGGCAACAGTAGTAACTCCATGTATGCATGTGGCAGCAAGTGTTGTTAAGAAAGCATCAAAACTGAAACTGTCCAACTGAAACCACATTTAGTGATCAGTTTTGTGCAGTCAGGGTGATTTACAGATTGATGTTGACGTTTTGGTGCAAATTAAAGAAGCTAGCAGGAACTTACAGTTTGGTCTCATTTGGACTTTAACGTGAGCTCAGACACGCCTGAGTTGACTTTCTGCTCGGGGACTCACCGATCTGTCCTGTCGCGATGATGTTTTGGTATTTTGGGTGTTGATTGACAGTCAGACAGAGGATGTCGTCGGTGTGTTCCAGGTAGAACGTTTGGGTTCCTGTCAGGACAGGCAGCAGGAAGTGTGATGTCATCATCAAAGGCAACAACATATAAAGGTAGAAGCTCAGTCTGAGAGTTACACTGACCGGCGGACAGGCTCTGGATGACCACTGCAGCAGCGGTGTGGAAGATGATGTCAGTACCGTCGTTGAGATAATGCAGGTTGTTGCGACAGTCGAAGCCTCTGTAGCCAAAGACGTGCTCCAGAACCAGCTCCTGAAAACCGAACAGGACAGAGGAGATACCAGCAGCTGTTTAAGGTGAGGTCATGTGTCAGTGCGCTGATGGTGGAGGCTCCTACTGACCTCCACCACTTTCTTCTTCTTGGTCACATTGTTCCTCAGCAGTTTGTCAGGCAGCGGTGCAGCTCGACTCACAGGAGGCCTGAACGGTAAACAAGTACAGTTAAAATCAGTGTACTGTGTTTCTGTGTGTGTGTGTGTGTGTGTGTGTGTCGGGTCGCGGTACCTCTCCTCCACAGGAAGCTCTTTGTGCTGCAGGTGAGGTCTGGTTCCTGACATGTTCCTGATGCTAGCAGAGTAGATCTTGGTGACGTAGTCCACCACCTTCTCTCGGGCCACATCACTGTCATACCCTGAAAACACAACGAGTCCATGACGCGACCGTTTCCCCTGAGAACAGAACTACTGAATCAGTCCGTTAATGCAAACCACGCTACCTTCCTGTGAGTCCCACCAATCACAGCAGCCCACACAAAGCGTTCACACACATCACCAAACTAAGACATTTATTCTCACTGGGACCGGAAGTTGCCTTTGATTTTCAATGAATTATACAAAAACAATTTTTGCAATTTTCACTTCCTCCTGCAATTTTACACAAATCAAACATTTTGTCGAGGCCTCCAACTGGTGTCATTACTTTCCTGCCTGTGTTTGGACCAATCAGCAGCCTCCTCAGCTGCAGTTCCTCTAATGTCCACCAGACGACGCTGTGATTAAACTGTACTGAAGTGAACGTGAAAACCTCCAACTTAGACTTTCAGAATATAAGCACACGTTGTCCTTCTGTTGTTTACGTTACCTCCGTCCTCCTCAGTGTCGTCGTCCGACTCCTCGCTGTCCACAGCTTTGCTCTCTTTGTGGCCCGGCGGCTCTCTGGTCCAGATCATGAGCGCCGTGTCAGCCCCGCCCACTGACAGCAGCAGGGAGTCGTCATTGGACCAGCGGACGTTCGTCACGTTGGTGCTGTGACCAACGTACTTCTTATACTTAGCAAACTGGCCCTGAGGTCAGTTGGACAGAGAATGATCATCGTGTAAAGATGTGAAATAAAATAAAATGTACATTCATCCTAACAACATATTAGTCAGGTTGTAATGTTTCCCCAGGACAAACCATCCTCTCTGAACATCTGCGGGATTACATTTAAGATCCTCACCCTGGACGGGAAGCTGAACAGTTTCAGGAAGCCAAAGTCGTCTCCGGTGGCGAGCAGTTTGCAATCTTTGGTGAGCGAGGCGGCATTGACGAAGCTAAGCATCGGCCATATTCCCTCACAGGTCGGACCCATAACGGACGTCCAGCTCGCCCAGTCCAGCTTCTCAAACTGCAAACACACAAACAAACAAATGTGTCTACGTGGAAACACCCCGACGATCCGGGACCCTAAAGACATTAACGCAGGCTGACCTCGGCCATGCTGATGTTCTGTTTGCGTCCTCGAGGAGCCTCAAAGAAAAGCTGCTCTTTGGCTCCGGTGTTCACCTGCAGCAATTTACCTGTCGACACAAACACATAACATGTTGTTAGCTGCTCCTGCTAACATTTAGCGTAGCAGCGGTACCGGTGAGTGTGTGTTCACCTCTGGAGTCCCAATCGATGTGCGTGATGTAGCTGCCGGCTCCTTTACAGATACCAACTCTCTTACTGGTCAGGACGTTGTAGATGTCCACGAAGGAATCATGGGACGCCACAGCCAGGTACTTCCCTGCATCTGAAACACACAGCGCAATGACTCATCGACCACTAAACCAATCACCTTCATCCTGTGTCACACCTGTGTGGAGTGTAGTCATTTTGCACCATGTTGTAGTTGTTGTGAGTCTCTATGTAGTTGTTTTGAGTCACTTTGTAGTTGTTTTTGTGTGTTCAGGTACCTTGGGAAAAGCGGATGTCTGAGATGAGCTCCTTGCGGTGGTGGAAGGTCACCATGTCCTCCAGCGTGTCGGCGTTTACCACCAGGAAGCTGCCGTCATTCAGACCGACCGCCAGAGCTTTCCCATCAGGAGAGAAGGCACAGCATCGTCCACCTGACAGGTAACACACACACACACACACACAGGTATAAACACACTACAGTGTATAAAATAACAGGATGTAGGTCTTCATATTTCCTCCCTCTCACCCTTCTTGAGTTTGCGGACGGCGACCATGCGGTGATTGGCCGACAGCTCCCAGATCCTCAGAGTTTTGTCGTCACTGACAGTGGCGCAGACAGGAAGTAGAGGGTGAGCTGCCAAACCCCACACCTCCCCCTCCATGTGACCCTGAACGCAACACACACCTGTTAACATTTGTTCCTTCATACTTGTGATATTTCTGCGTCTGTGTGTCTGACCTGAACCAGCAGCGTCATCGGTCCACTCTTGTCGATCTCCAGGATTTCTCCGTTCTTTGTTCCCAGCAGGATGTGACCATGACCCAGAGTGATCGCTCTGATCGACGGGTTGTCCTCCAGCAGCAGGCCTGCAGACAGGCAGTCAGAGAGACAGACAGACAGACAGTTAGACAGACAGACAGACAGACAGACAGTGAGACAGGCAGACAGACAGACAGACACACAGACAGACAGACGGACAGACAGTCAGAGAGACAGAACAAATGGTTCTTGATGTTGATAATGTGATAACATGATAACATAATAATGTGATAATATACTAACGTGATAATGTGATAATATAATAATGTGCTATTATAATGTGATAATATAATAATATGATATTGTGATAATGTGGTATTATGATATGATAATGTAATAATATGATAATGTAATAATATAATAATGTAATAATATAATAATATGATAATGTAATAATATAATAATGTAATAATATGATTAACATTTTGTTTGCTGTGTAGTAACGGACGTACAAACTAAACACAGGACTTTCACTCAGGAGAACCTTTAACCTAACAAACTGCAACTGTTTCACTACCTTAACCATGTAAGCTTTATTTTGAAAGTCTAACTGGATGTTATATTATTGCTAACTTGCATCATCCTTCCTTCTTCATCATGTCTTTGAGTCCTCGCAGACATCGTATGAACTGATAAGTGAGAGAAGAGCTGAAACCTTTGGATGATGGAGAGAGAGCGGCTCTCTTGATGGCGTACGTCTTCAAACATCTCTCAAACATGTCGTCCCAGAGCTCCACGATGCCGTCCTTCCCACCCGTCACAAAACCCTGGTCAGTGAACGCAACATGGCAAGCAAAAGAAAAACATTCAGTTTACTTTATGTTTCATAATCTACAACATCGACATCTAGAAACTCTGATGCTTCACATTATGGAAGTCCAGAGGTACCAAAAATAAAATCATACTTTACCTTGAAGACATTATGATACATTATGATTTCATTCTTTATCTGGTGATATTACAACTTATTTAATACATTTAGTACTTATTATATATATATAATATATATAGTATAAGTATAACTATATTAGATATTTTATCTGGTTAAATCTAGATCTGGACAATCGGGACTGCTGGTGTGATACGGTTCCTGAGACCGTCTCATCTGTGAAGGATGATACAGTGAATGATGGCTGACGATGACCCAGGTGCTCCAGGTGTTACCTTGTCCAGGGAGCACATGGCGAACACGGGGCCGTCATGGGCTTTGATGGTCTTGACGAGCGTTGTGTCTCTCCAGATGTAAACGTCTCCGTTGGTGGCTCCGGAGAAGACCAGGTCCTCCGATCGACCGTAACACGCCGACATCATCGTCTCCTGCTTCCCCAGGTTCCCAAAAATCCCTCGTTTAAACGTCAGACCCCCACCTGCAGGAGGACATCGCCATTTTCGTTGGAACAGATCAATAATAATTATGTGGATATAATCAGATGTTTGCTGTTGAACTGAGCTCAGGTGTGTTTCAGGTAAATTCGAGGATTTACCTGAATGTTGCCAGAACTTGATGTGTTTCATGCCGACAGTCACCAGTTTGTCCACCCTGAACGGGTTACTCTTCACCACAAAGATCTTGTCTTTATGACCCCTGCAGGACACAGTGCATTTACCAAAGGTAATCTCAAATAGAGCAGACCCAGAGGTTAAAGGTCAAAGGATCAGTTTGCCTAAAACAGCTAACATTAGCATCAGCTGACTCTTTAAAGCTGGAATATAATGATCACAGTTTCATTAACACAAGTGTGAACACACTGATTAATGAGGAGCTCCTAAGGTGTGTTTACCTGGCCTTGGCCAATCTCTCTCCTTTCTTCCAGTCCCAGATCACGATGGAGTGAAAGTCATCGATTCCCACAGAGATCAAACTCTTCCCATCCACTGAGACAGAGACAGACAGAGAGACAATAACAAACTAATAACAGACTAATAACAGACTATTTAACGGACTAATAACAGACTATATAACGGACTAATAACAGACTATGACCTATATATCGTGACTACATAACATGACGTATTGTAGCGGACTAATAACGACGATATATCGGACTAAAAACAGACTATTTTTTTTTTATAAGAGAGCAATAACACTAATAACAGCGATGAAGAGACTGGGGGAGCGACTAAACTCGAGCAACGTGGGGTAGTGGGAATAGACAGGACATGATGGAAGCAGGAGCGGAAGAGACCGGATATAGCGGGCACGTGAATGTAAGCGGACTAGATAACAGGAGTGAAGATGAGCGGTATATAACGACTAAAGACAGACTGATGAACAGACTGGAATAACAGACGGGTATGTAGGGCGAAGATAAAGCACAGTAGAGCCACGGGTATAATACGAGACGATATGATAACAGACTAGTAGAAAGAGGCTCTAATAACAGGGACTAAATAAACGAGACGGAATAACAGGACTACGTATAACAGCTGAATAACATCTAATACACAGACTAGTAGAGACAGATGGAAGTAACAGAGCTAATAACAGGAGCTAGATAAGCAATAACAGACTGATAACAGACTAATAACAGACTATATAACAGACTAATAACAGACTAATAACAGACTAATAACAGACTATATAACGGTACCTGTGAACTCCAGAGCACACACTCCTCTGCTGTGGTGTCCCTTTAGTAGCGACAGACACTTCAGAGTCTGGATGTCCCAGACGTGGACGGCTGGGTCTCTGCCCACCTGAATACACAGACAGCCAATCAGAAACACGCTCAGTCAGTCTGACGGTAGCACGCTGCGTTCTGATTGGCTGGGCGTACCTGTGCGGAGGCCACGTAGTCTTTGAGCGGGTGGACGGCGAGGCTGAGGATATCGTCGTCGTGGCCGAGGTAGAACCTCTGACTGTGCTGCAGCCTGTTGTAGACGACGGCTACGGCGGCCACGTGATACACCACCTCCCCCGCCTGACTGTAGAACAGGTTGTTACGACAGTCGAAGCCCCGGTACCTGCAGGAAACAGGAAACAAGACCGCCACAGTAAAGGTCACTTCAGCAGCAGCATCATTCATAGCTTTACGGATCGTTGTTTGTACCCGTGGACAAACTGCAGACGAAGACCCTCCTCTGGAGCTTTCTGCCGCTTCAGGGAACCAATCAGCTTCTTCCGCAGCTGAGGCAGGTCCTCCTTATAGACCTGCAGACAAAGGCAGGTGAGTCAGACAGGCAGACAGACAGACAGATAATGTACAGGCTTATTGTTTGGTCACCTGACGTTCGTAGCTGGTCTGAGCTTCCTGCTCGATGTCCGAGTCGAGCTCCGGGACGTCCGACACGTCTGAGTCCGACTCTCCGCTGTTGGAGTCAGCGTAACCCTCTGAAGACCCCGAACAGACTTTATCAATAAGCTTATTAACTTGAATTAGAAAACTGTGAAATGTATCTCACTAACAGGCTCCTAAACCAACAGCAATGCAGAGTTTGGAGATGATTGGATGATGGAACTGGTGTGTAAGAGTATGCGTATGTTGAGTTCACTGAGGGATAATGTACAGGTTGTGATTCAGGGATAACAATGCTGACTTACGAGAGACATTAAAGGTATTTACAGATGCTACATTTAGGATAACAAAAGATGTGGTGACAGAAGGCGAGTTAGGATTTACAGGAGATTCCACACATAACATTTTGTCAGAATCCAACAAATAACTGATTTTAGGGATTCCAGTTTGGTCTAAGGTTAGGTTCTGGTGGACCCACATTGAGACTGAGCTGGATCAGTTCATAACATAATTCCAGGGAAGCACGTTGGCCAGTTGTTTGTGTTATCTGGGATAAATTCTGAAGTAGTAAATCTTGGTGCTACCTTGAAGGAGGGGCTCCAGGACGCCATTCATGACGCCCTCTGGCAGGAACCTCCACTGGAAGACAGCGTGGTCAGCGCCACCGGTGCTGATGACCCACTGCAGGTCGTTGGACCAGCGGACATTCGTCACATGGGCAGAGTGACCGATGTACTTCTTGAATTTGGCTCCTGTTTGAGGAAGAAGAAGCAACGTTTACAAAAAACAGTGATTCTGGAATGACGAGGTGAGACTGAAGGATGCACTAACATTTAAGAACATTATAAATACATAAAACTTAAAGAAAGAACACCCTGTGGTTACTGATGCATCAGAAAGTACTTCCACACACACAATGGAAAAGGTTGATGCGTCTGAATGTTTGTCGGCAAACCTTTCTTAAGGCAGGGGAACCTGAAGAGTTTGACAAGCCCGAGGTCGTCTCCGGTCACCAGCACAGCGCTGCTGTAGTTGGCGTCCACAGAGTTCACGTTAGTGATGCTTGAGTATTTGGGCCAGATGCCGTTCACTTCTGTCCCGACAACACCTGTCCATGTCATCCAGTGGATCCCCTTCGCCTCCTCTTTAGGAACTAGCTTCCCTGCTGTAGGAGGAGGAGGTCAAAGGGTCAGGGGTTGGTCAAGTTATATCCCGAAGTCTTCCATCAGTCTGGGACAATAATGTCAAATAGTTTGAGACTCAGTCGGTACCTGGCATTCTGTAGAACAGCCTCTCTCCGGCGCCGTCGTTGGTCTGCAGGAAGCGGCTGTCAACCGACCAGTCCAGGTGGGTGATGAAGGAAGTGGAGCGGCTGCACTCACCCACCTTCTTGTATCGCTGGGCGACGGCATAGACGTCCACAAGCCCATCGTTTGATCCCACCGCCAAGAAGGAACCGTCCGGTGAAAACTTCAGCTCATGAATCACCTCCTTCCTGTCCTTGATGTGCACGACCTCCGTCATGTCCCTGAAGACAAAGCTCTGTTACCTCAAGTTCCTTCAAAAAATATAATAATCTTAATCTAAGGTATTGAAAAAATGTCAAACATTAATTATTAAGATAAACACATAAATTGGCTTCCAGGACTAGCTACTATAGCAGTTAGCATAGGGAACTACTTTTGGGCCACGTTGTTTGGTTAGTAGCATCGTGGTGTTAGATCACAGTTATAACGTAGATGGATGAACCAGCTTCCTAGCAGCGCCCCCCGAAGTTACCTGACACGCAGCACGGTGAAGGATCCGTCCTTCATGCCCAGAGCGAGCTGAGATCCGTCGTTGTTGAAGGAAACGCTGCGGACAGATTCCTCCATGTTACAGCGAGCCAGCAGAGTGTGGTCAGGAAGACTCCACAGCCTGAGAGACAGACAGAGGAGAGACAGACAGGTTAGAGGGTATACGCAGCAGCCAGGCAGACCCGTCGGTGGCGTCAGTGGCTCGGACTGACCTGACGGAGCGGTCGTCACTCCCGGTGACGGCGACCGGCTGTTTGGGGTGAAGGTCCAGTGCCCACAGCTCGCCCTCGCTGTGACCCTGCATCAATAGAACCGGTTTGTCCCGGTCTCGGACCATGACCTCAAAGATCTCGCTGTCCTGCGTTCCCGCCAGGATCCGGTCGGCCTTCCAGCAAACACTGCGGATCGACAGACCTGAAAACACAACTGACGTCTCTAAAGGATCAAAGTTTAAACAGCAAGTAAAATATTTATTTTATTTTATTAGTTTCTTAATCTTCTGATTATAGATTAACCGGCCTGAAAATGTATACTATAAATATTATAAAATATATTATATTATAAATACTATAAATACTTTCTATTATTATATATTATAAAATATATAAATACTATAAATATTATAATAATAACTCAGTATAAAAAAGATGGAAAAAATCTGCAGATATCTGACAGACAGACAGACAGACAGAGACACAGACAGACAGACAGAGACA